GACATTAAAAAAGGAAACATGCCAATACATGAATGAGCATAACAATCCTCACACTCTTATACCTTCTTTGAGTGTATCATGATGTTGCTAAAACGATATATTCTATTTCAGTCATCATCCAATTGGCCTTAATGATTCACAGATTCTTCCATCTCAGTAAAAATGTTTGTTGAGATGGTTGATATCTTTACTGTTACAAATCTAAGTAGATCTCAAACCAAGACACAACTAGTATCTTTGGGAAAGCAACCCGATGTTCGGATTTTACAATGGCTTAGTAATCGTTTGCTTTTCTGTCATAGAGTATCCTCTGGATAAGAAGAGTCACTGCTATCTTGGACAATCTGTGCTGCTGCAGCAACTCCAAGGAAAACTGACATGGGGACAAGGTGGAATCCGAGGAGAGCGAATACACTCTCAAGAATCCTGAGCTCACCTTAAGATAAAAGCAGGAAAGCAGCCCAAATACACACACAACAAGTTTTGATCTATTTCCCAGACAAGTGTGAGGCAATCCAAAATCCACCTCTTATCCATTTCCCTTGGGTGCTCATGAAATTTCACTTGGTAAAGAGGCCACAGGTCCATTAGGTCCAAATATTCTTTTTACAGGCACCTAGATTTGATTTGTGGCTTTTCTAAGGGTCTAATCCCAAGAATGCCTAGAATCTACTTCTTAAGGACAAGCGAGGTAGTGAGTTAATCAACATCAAATACCAAATGCTCAGTTTTGTACAAAATTCCAGACTGGGTGTCACAATGGCACAGGCTGTGAAAAGCAGAAAGGAAGCACTTCTTCAAACAAACACATAACTAACCAGCAACTACTACTTTAGCAATGATTATGTGCAAGATACTGTATCTCTGCTTAATGATAAGACTGAAGACTGAAGGGAGAGATGACAGATGAACGTATGACTAATGATTCAAGGTGGTGGAGGGTCAGTGTTAAGAGATTTGTATGGATATAACAGAAAAGGAGGTTTCAGAAGAGGAAGGGATCACTTCTAAGTAAGGATGAACCAGAAGGCTTCCTGGAGAAAGTAGGGCATATACTAGATTTGGACCAGCATTTTGAAAGTTGAAAGAAGGGGCAGGGCATGTCAGGTGGGTGAAATAATATGAGCATGTTATCAAGAAAGGTCTGCACAAAGCGAGCTGCCCTGCTTTGCTGAATTGAAGATTTCTTTAGGAGAGTTAGCAGAAGGCAATGGTAAAAAGAAGGCATACTAGGATCTTACAGATTCTAGAAATTCTAACAATTATAAAATTCAAATCTGCCTCACCTTATTCTAATCTATTCTTTTCATAAAAATGCAGCTTCTCGAGTTGACCACTAGACATTACTATACCTTTAAGTTGTGTGTCTATATTCTTTATTTCGACAGACACAGTAACTATCGTATAGTTGTTAGAAATATGCTTTAGGGTACCAGGCCATTTGCTAAATGTTCAACTCTGAATACGTTTATTTAAGCTTTATTTATTCATCTGTAAGTGTGGATAATAATACATGCATTTACAGGAGAAAAGATATTTGAAGGAGACAAAAGAAGAAACTACAAAGTGTAGTGCCAGTAAAGGTGAAAGTAAAGGAACTTCAAGACAGGAGATGTTGTTTTGGAATAGGCGAAAGGAAGGCCAATCTGAAAAGAATGGCCATTATGAGTAAAGCTCCTAAAGATCTAGAATAGGAAAGACATTATGGAACCTGCATACATGACTGAATGAAAAACCAATTTCTTTGTAAACTTTCATTTGAATCACAATAAAAAAGAAAGAAAGGGGAAGTTGTTAAGAGCCCTAAAAGAAACCAAGAGGTCAAGGTGGTTGCAGTGGTAGATCATGATTCTCAGTGGTTTGGCAGACACTCTGCCATTATTCATTTTGTGATTTGATGTATTAACCAGTGGGAAGGGGAATTTCCTTGAAGGGATAGCGGGCAACCAATTTGTAAATGGATGTTCTGGCAAAGCCCTAGCACTCTCACTTACTCTCTCTCCTGACTTCCTGTTTTTGGGGCATGAGAAGTCTTCAGTCTGCTGTATGACTTGTAGATTTTGGATTCACCGAGTCCTGAAAACCTGTGGGCCTTCTTGTACAGTAAAATCTCATTAATCTAGATCATTTGAATTTATTTTGGTAACTTAGTCTAGGCTAGAGTTAACTTTGTAAGACTTACAAAGAAAGGATTCACTGAGTAAATAGAGTGAATAAGATGGCAAGGGAGTTAATTTAACTAGATGGGGTATATTCCGCCTACTGTATAAGACCTTTATTGTAGACCATGTGTGAGGATCCAAGGTGGGGAGGGTGGTAGCAGAGGGGAGAAGATGGGAAGAGGTGGGGTTAGGGGGATGGTTAATCACAGGGTAACCCAATTTGATGGGTGGAGGGAAGGGTGAGTAAAGGCAATGCGAAGGATCCAGAGCGAAAAACAAATGTATAGGAACTTTGTAAGTAAACCAGTATAAAACAAAAAGTTTTATTTAAATGAAAGAGATTTTAAAAAAAAATACAACACAACCTTACAGCATACTTGTTATCTGAATGCAAACTGATTCTATTAATTACAGATTAGGAGTCCTGGGTGGTGTAAACAGTCAAAACACTAGCTGCTCACAAAAAAAAAGGAAGTAAGTTTGGGTCTACTCAAAGGCTCTTCAGAAGAAAGACTTGAAGATTTACTTCCAGAGAAATCAGCTATTGAAGATTCTACAAAGCACAGTTCAACCCTGACACATATGAGGTCGCCATGAGTCACAACTGACTCAGGGGTGGGTGGTTAATCATAGAGGGGCTGTTAAAATCTCTTCTTTGTAGCAATTACTTTGCTCACAAGGGAGTTCACCGTTCAGACTTACATACACTGCTTTCCTCACCCACTCGAGCTAGCTACAGTTCAGGATGTGCTACCCTAAACTTCCCAACACTTACCACAAAGGACACACTAGTAAGTAATCAAAACACCAGTAAGCTGTCTCAGAACAGCCAACAAGGACATCGTGACTCTGATGTACTGAATTCCTGTACACACTCCATGGTACGTCGCACTTACAGCTAATTTAACTCTTGCTCAGCAAACTTCTCTGACACACCAACTTCCTCACTGCAATCAGTTATGAAGAAAAGGAGACAAGAAGGGCTGCTACATGAACAGACATAGAGAGAGACCTGAAGTGACTGTCGGCTGCAGAAAGGAAAAAGGACACGTATAAAAAATGGCTGTAATAACTAAAAAAACATTATGAGTCTAAGACAATTTAGTGCAGAGGGAAAAGGCCTATCACTCCTTTGTAAACCTGAAAACAACTGAACATTATGGCTCAATACAACTAATGACTGCAATTATGCCTCTAAGTGATCAAGTAAAGCTCACATTATGTTACATTTATGCCTTAAAAAGGCAGTTTAGTTTTATACATATGTGTGTGTGTGTGTGTATGTACATATGATTTCTATCTATAATGGTTAGCCTAAACACGTAAAATGTGTTCATGCTTACAAGGACGAAGCTGCTAATACTGCCATATAATAAGAATTCTGCTGCTACTGCTAATAAAACCCAGTTACCTCAAGTTGATTCCCATGGGTTTCAGAGCAGAACGGCATCCCACAGGATTTTCAAAGGCGGTGACTTTTCAGAAGCAGATTGCCAGGCTTCAAAGGACCTCTGGGTGGACATGAGCTCTCACCTTTTGGGTAGGCAGTCAAGTGCTTAACCACTTGCACTATTTATTTAGCAATGATTGTGTACTGATACTATACTAGTGCTTGACCCACATCATTCTATTTTGTTTTGCCTAACAATCCTAGGAGGAAGGTTTTCAGATCAGTTCTACTTTACAGTCGAAGAAAGTGAAATTTAAAGCTATTCATTAGGTGACTGATCCCAGGTCACAGAGAGATAGAGGCAGAACTAGAACTCAGTTCAGTTCATTGGATATATTGTATGGTTTTCAAGCCTGTGGAAGATACAGCTCTCTAAGAATCACTCTTTCCTTGAGGGCTCCAGATAGGGGATTTTTTTAAATCACATTTTGTTTTCCACCCTCCTATCGAAATAGCTTGCCTTATGTAAACAGAGAGATCCACACTCCACATTACAGCTGAATGTGAACGTAAATGTAATAATGGAAAAACAAAACCCAAGCTAAAACCCAACCATCTCTATCAGATCCATCTCTAAATTTCAGATCAGTCTTTATATACCAGCAGCTCTTTTTTCAAGAGTACAGTCAACCAACACAGAGGACATTTAAAATATCAAGGGATCAGTAAAGATTTGTTTCCCCTAGTTTTTTCTCATTCCTTTTGGAGAGATTTGAGATGAGAACAGGCCAGTGGGATGTGGGGGCAAAGGAGGGAGGAAGTGACAGAGGAGGCTAAAACTTCAGCTGGCTATTGTAGAAGATTTAGAAAAATCTACATTCACCAGCTCTTCTAAGAGAGCTGTCAGGGCGTAAAACACATGCAGCTATAGTATACATTGGGAGGAAAAGGGTAGAGGATTTGAGAGAAGCAAATATATGTAGCTATTTGCATTGGAAATAAACAATGAGGTTACCCTGCCACATTTAGATGCAAAGAAAAAGAACCAGTGAAAACATTCACTCAATTTCTTCTGCCTGAATCCATGTCCTTTCCTCCTATCTCCTTGTCTCAAGTCTGGAAAACAATACTTTTGCCAGGAAGCTTTCCGGATCCCCAAAGCAGAATGAAACTGTTCCTCCTATTGCTCCCAATAGACTTTTCCTATAGCTCTGATGCAACTCTGTCTTATTACTGGAGTTACTCGTGTACATGCTAACAAGTTGAGCATGACTTGATGGCACAAAACCACATCCCAAAACGAGTTCCTGGAGGACAGGGGACTACTTTTCTCATTTCTGTAGTTCCTACAAGTCCCAGCACAGAGCACAGCACATACTAGCTTCTGGGAAAATGTTCATTGAACTCAACGACACTGGCTTCAAAGAGCGTATTGTGACCTAGCTTACCTGAAGGAGCATTTGTTCTCTTTCTTTTCTTGCTTGATTCCCCTCCATTTTCAATGAGGCCTTCTGTGACCAGAGGGCCACTGGCACAACCAAACTGCAAGGGTTCGTTGTTGCTAGCAGGGTCAAAGGGCAGCTGGTTCAATCCTAAGAAAGAAAAACAAAGCCAAGATCCAGACTCCATCAAGGACTTGAGTCGTCTTGAAATTTTATTACATGAGCCACTAGTGGAAGGCTCTTCATTCATCAGAGCGAGTCTACGAGAGACAGCTGAATTTCTTAAAGCTTGTTCGCTGACTTCTATTATTTTAATAATCTTGTTGATTAAGTACAGAACTTAATGTAAGCTTTTATAAGCTCTGCCATTTAGCAAACCTCTCCTGTTTCTGCAGAAGGTAACTTTTCCCCCCCTTTGCTACAAACTATCAACTGTTTTATATCTCCTCCCTATTTAAATGTGGCTATTTTGAGACCTACTCCTTCCTTGAAAAAAGCCTGGCCCTGGTGCTCCCTTAACTGGCATTTTCTCATATTTTCAAGATAAAGTTTCTTGAACTGATGCAGATAAAATCGTTCTACTACCGTGGTGTCAAAGTCACTTCCAATGATAACATTGAGGCTTCACAAAAAGAAAATCATAACTCCACAGTAACTGAGAAAAGAAAACAAAGCTAAGGAAAACACAAGGCAAGGGGGTTGCTGAGTGCTGGAGTGCTGAAGAGTTACAATCCAAGATTCAGGAGCATTAATCTCCCCTTCTTCAAACACTGTCAGGCACCTCATCACTTTACGAGTCACTGCAGCACCATATAAGAGGAAGTAATGTTTTCTCTCCTCTTTAAGTCACACACCGTTCCGCCAGGAATAAACAGAGAGAGTTTCTTACTCTACCCTGGCAGCAGCATCTGGAATTTCAAGTGCTTCAATTAAAACTTCATGAAATGCGGAATCAAAAGCTTTGTTAGAGCCCAAAGATACCACATCTTCCCTAAGCCTTTTATCTACTGGTTCTCTAATCCTATCAAAAGCAGAATCAAATTGGCCTGCCCTGGCTCACTCTTTTAACCCCAAATTTTCTATAGTCTAGAGCTTTAGGACTCTTGAGGTAATGCAAAATGTCAATAAAAAACCTAGAATCCAGTCACTAAAGGTCAGTCAAATTCCAGTACAATGAAATTGACTTAACATTACGATTTTTAATGAAAAACCATTTCCAGGCTAATTTTCCCCCCCTACATAGCAACAAGTATTGTTTCTTCAGCTCTCAGACTTCGCTTGGAACACTTCCATTAGATGTCTTCTGGTTTGCCAAACATTCCTCCTTTGTATCATGTGAGTAACTAAGCACAAGAATAAAAGCTTGCTTCTGTATCTTAAGTCAGCCATTCACTATATTATATCCCTGTCCTGTTAAATTTGACCATGACTAGAGCTAAAGAAATAAACACTGATTTCAGTGCAGCAGAAAGTTCTGAGATTATGGCCACGATTATGTTCAAAGACTTGATTTTTATGTCATTTACAAATGAAGATGCTTCTTGCTCCTGCATAGGATCTTTTTTTAAAAAATTAATAATTTTTTTTACACTTTAATGTGATTTTAATGAAAGGTTACAGAAAAGCTGGACTTTCATTCATTCACCTGCGTAGTTTCAGAGTGAAAGATGGCTAGTGTAATATGGAGGGGGGGAGAATTTGATACTGCTTGTTACAATATCACATTGATCACAAATCCCATGGAAGACAGACTAGTAGTGTGGGAAGAGTATGTGTTTCAGAGGCTAAAACAGAGTTCAATTCCTGGCTCTGTTCCTTAGTTAGAGACTATTTAAATTTTGTTAACTCATGTAATTTCTCTTACTCTTTTTTCCTTAAAGTGTAAAAGGGCAATGACGACACTCCATGGGATGATTGGTTGTTTTAAAAAAAATGTATGTATGTGTGTGTATTTAATATTTATTTATATATCCATATAATTATTATATTACTCTAAGTGAATTAAAAGAAACAGTTCTTATAAATTTCTCAAGGTAAGATTATTTCTCTGTCTCTGTCCCAAGCTTTTTCACAATTGTATGCCTGGTGTCCTGTCTAATTTTAATGGCATCACATAGTGGGTGATAAATCAATATCTCATTCTATTAAACCCTACAATTAGAATATAAACTTGACAGTTGATAATCAAGAATTAATATAACCTAAAAAATTGTGATGCTGATTATATCAATATTACTCAAAGTAATTAGATTTTAAATGCATCACCATCATACTGTAGGATGGTAAAGTCTTGATTAAAATAAACACTCAGAGATTAGAAGTTTCTGATTAGTGATGGCTAATCAGAAAAGTCTTTTTAAATTTTGTCTTGCATTTGATATTTTTACAGGAGAATATATTCATCCGCTTCCCCGTCTTAAGTTAACCATTCTTAATTCCACAAATGACTGAGGATCTTACAGGGAGATTCAGAGCCTTGGTCTATAAAGGATGCTACTCACAGTATCTAACTCAGGGGACTGTTAAAAGGATTCAGTGAGATCATGTATGTGAACAATTGACCCCCTACCCAGCACATAGTAATAAATATCAACTGCTAGTATTATCATTTTCAATTCCGAGAACTGTAGATGGGCAATGTGAGATTGGTCTGACCTTGCCCTGATCCAAGGAGAGTTCTCACTGAACTTTTCTGTTGCTCTTTTCACCTTTTTTCTAAAACTTAAAGGCGTTCAGGAAAAATAATGTGGTCGGCTATATGTACTTGACCATGGACATTTTACTATAATCGTCTTTGCTTTTTATTTAGTCCCTGAGGATAACTAGTGTCTTATGAGTTAGTTGCACTGCTAATTCAAAAGCCAGCTGCTCAAATTCATCAGCTTCTCTGTGGGAGAAGGATGAACAGTCTCCTACTGTAAAGATTTATAGCTTCACAAACCCAATAGAGGGTCACTTTGACTTGAAATGGACTCAATGGCAGGAGATGTGGTTTGTGGTTTGATAACTTTAGGTATTTACTCCTCATAATAATGTCCAGATTTTTGTTTCACACTAAGACTGAGATTTCAAGTTCTTTTCTATCTATCCTCTTAATATTTGGTCTAAGTGTCTGAAAATTCTGATAATCCAGCACACTGTATCTCAGGCCTTGTTTCTTATAAGGAAAGACTAAAATACAAAGGAGAACAAGTGAACCCATTCAGAGTCTCCAAACATTTGTAGTTTGAGAGCGAGAGCTATATAAATAGCAAAATCAGGCTACTTTTACAAGATTGTCTCATTTCTTCCTTAAGGCACCATTAAATAAATCAATATATCTGCAAATCCAAAGGTAACTGAAAGGATCATCACTGTGTCAGGCATACATGATGCATACTGAAAGCTAGTTTAACTAGAATAGCTCGTTAAATATATTTTAATTCTAAATAAAAATTCTTGTTGCTGAAATTCAATCAAGACTTCAAAATAGTTTTTATAATTCTCATCAAAAGTACAGAATTTATCTTTTAGGATAAATTATGTATTCGAATTTATTTTTGAAAGCAATTTCTATTATTTCTTTATTAAACTTAATAAAAAATAGAAAATACTAAGTGTTGAAGAAACTTTTTAAAAATTTGGTGAGTGGTAAGCTCTGTGGCCTAGTGTTAAGAAGCTGCACTGCAATCCCAGAGGTGAGCAGTTTGAATCCACCAGATGCTCTGCTGGAGAAGGCGGGACAATCTCTTCCTGTACCCAGATTCAATTTTATGGTACACACACACAGACACACAAATTCGGTAAGCATATATAACACAAAGCACTTGTTATTTCAACATTTTAAACGTATAACTCAATGACATTAATTACATTCTTCATATTGTGTAACTATCACTTCTATTTCTAAATTTTTCCATCATCTACAATAGCCCATTAGTTCCGCGATTAAACAAGCTTGGAAGTAGGAGTGGCATCCACTTCTGAAACAGATTGCGTCTGGAAACCCTATGAACTTGGAGAAATGATGAAAGTTATACAATTGTTCAGGTCTTTGGTTCACAGGGTAGCTATGAGTCATCTATGACTCTTAACAACACTTAACAACAACAATAGCCCAGCAGTCCCTAAACAATGGCTTCATTTCTCCTTTCTGCTCCAGCTAGCCCCTAATAAGCTGGAAGAAACTTTTGAAAGTATCAAGTTTCTTCTTCTGTGCAATACAAGAATCTTCTCAATAAAAGTCTTGACAGTTTTAACTCCAAGGGGCACTTTATGGCTGGGGCAGTCCTGGCTAGGCTCCTGGAGATTAAGCTTTTATTATTTCCTTTTTAGGGAGCTCTGGTGGCCTAGAGTTAAGAAACTCTGTTGCAGAATCTAAAGGATGCTATTCAAACCTACCAGCTGCTCCTTGGGAGAAGAATGGGCCATCTCCTTCTGCCATTTTTTTACTAGATGGCACACAGCAGCAGCAACAACATTCTTCTTTAAAATTACTCAAATTCATTGCTTTTGAGTCAGAACCAACTCATGGCTGACCCCTTGCTCTCAGCAGGGTTCCAAGGCTGTAAATCCATGCTCATCTTTCTCCTTCAAAGCCCTTGGATTTGAACCACCAGAGAAGTGTGGTCTATGAGTTGGCAGTGCAACTCCCTACAGACTGGGTCACTCTTTGTGGAACAGAATGCATTTTGTCCAACTGCCAACTTGCTTATTGTTTCTAAAGATTTAACTGATAAGGCACTATAAGAAAAATGGATAACAGAGAGAAGTCAGAACTTGTCAAAAATTTTATAAAGTTCTCATATTTCTTTATAATTTCCAAAGATAAGTTTAATAAAACCTTGAATTTTGTTCATTTGTTTCTCCCACACCCTCCAACGCTACAAAATGTTAACGTCTGTCTAAAAAGAAGAATGAACTGGTAAAGAAAAAGTGTAACATTAGTGGGTTTTGGTTTTTTCCCTTGGGTTTTGATTTTTTTTGGGGGGGGTGCTATTCTGTACCTTCATATCTCTGTTCACAATGAAACATGCACGGGAAGTAGTATAACATCTACAACTTGGTTGACTGGTTCAGACAGCTGATTTGCTGTTATTTCATGAAATGTCAAAAAACAGATTATCTGACTACATTACACATAAGGCCACTGGA